TTTTGTCCCCAAGAATTTTTTATAATCCAATAAGACATTCTAAGTGTACTATCATAACCATAACCAACAACAACCATAGCATGATCCATATCTTGTCGAGCAGTTGGACAATTAGTTATACTAAGTACACCAGCTTTATAAAACATAAATAATTGTGAATCAGCATCAAGACCAATAAATAAAGGTCCATTATTAACCAATGCTTCAGCCATTGTTTTTTCATCACTTTCTGGAATAGGTTTATATTGAACATTACCAAGATTTATTTCATTAATTCCAGTTGTTTTACATGTTTGTTTTCTTCCTGCATATGGATAAGATGCAAGTGTAGCTAATTTATTACCTTGTCCTGATATATAACGAATACTTGGCGGAAAATTTCCACCACTACAACCATTATTACCATTACTTGAACAATCCGTTATTTGTTGTGGACTTAATTCAATAACAGTTTTTGAATTTGTTTTTATAGCATAAAGTGATTCTAATACTGCAGCAGTAGCAAATGCATAACAACATCCACATTTAAGTTGATCTTTAATACCACTAACAACATTTTTACTACGCCAATCAAATGAACTAGTTGGTTGTGGACTAACATTATTATTATTATTATTATTTGAATCTGGATTAACTAAATTCCAAAGCCAATTAGAAAATCCACGTCTGTCATTATATTTTTCATGATGTTTTCTATAAATCATATTTCGTTTTAATCGTCGTAAATAATAATGATGTTGATAAAGTTTATTTAAACTACGACGAACTGAATCTTCATAGTTGTTACCATCATAAGACATATGTCGCCGTAAATTAGTTGATGGAATAAGACCTTTTTTTAATGAATTAAATTCTTCTATTGTCCAATCAGCAAATTCATTTAATTCTAATTGAAATGTACGTAATTTTTCTAGATTTGATTCAAGAACATATCTAAGATGATTTTGAAATATACGAAAACGTTGTTTTTCTTCATCTATAACAACAAGAATAACAAAAACAAATTCTCAAAAACAAATAAATTTGTTTATCTTAAACTAACCAAGTGATGAATAAGCACGGCCATATTTTGATTTAAAATAAGACCATATACGATTAACAGTTGAATCATTAAGACTTAAAATACCATTTATTTTAAATTTAGCAGCATCAACAAAATTATCAATATAATCTTGAAGAGATAAACCATCAAATAAACCTTGAGTAGGTTTGCAAAGACCAAATAGACAAATAGCTGAGATTAGAAACCAATGTAACTTCATCTGTAGTTATGAAAAAAAAAATCAAATGATGAATAATCAAAAACGACAACGATAATTTATATTTCATATTGCTACTTAATAGCTCTTGTGCCAATATGTACATGTATATTGAGATGAATTTTTTTCCTCTCTATTCTTCTCTCTTGTTTTATTTTCTTGTCAACCAGGTATGTTTTTTATGTTTAACTATGAAGTATCAAGTTAATCAAACACTTTGGATTAGTTTACTCCAAAAAATATACCAAGAAACACAAAAATACTACCTGATTTTCGTTAATATATATGTAACCTATCAAATAAAAACTAAGAACAAGTAATAGCATCTGAAATATGAGTGTAGAGGATATGTTAAAAAATGATTATTCATATTTTATGAAGGTCATAAATAGTCTTGCTGTGAATGATATTTATATTGTAAGTATAATAATTTTTTATATCCATCATTGAAGGATACCATTGACTGAAAAATATTGACAATTATGTTAGGATATTTAGTCTATATGTGGTCTGTTATTTACGATTAAGGTTTTTATATTTTTATGAATAGCAACATGTATTTTCGATAAATAGAATAGAAAATTTTAAAAAAATTAAAATTAGATCTAGACACGATAAATTTATCTAGTAGTTCGTTAAATAGAATGATGTATGTATGTCTAGATGAATGAATCAGCATGATATTATTAAAACATATAGGAAGTTGAGTTCTTTAGATTCTTAGTGGCAATCATTTTTTTTTTCAAGATGTGATTGTGGAACATGCTTCTTAATCGATACCATCTGAGTCAACAATATGTTATACATGCTCCTCTACATTTTTTTCAGTTGCGGTATATTATTGCAGACATTATGTTTGGTACGATGTGTTTACTGTTAATACTGCTCAGCATCGTTATCATCAATCATATTCATTTTTTGATATTTGAGTTATTACTCTATAGATATTTTCTTTCTCATTTCCATCGCGTTGTTATACACACATTATAATAATACCTAACAGTTGTATATGTCAAATATCTCTTCCAGATATATACGGGTTTATGATGGTTGCCATTAGTGTATATTTTACTCTCCTTCTTTTTATTATCTTTATATATAGTGTTATTTCACAATATCATGAAGAACAAAACTTGAATAAAATATTGTTGAAGCTCAATGAATGTGTTGAAAGTTAGCGATGTTAAGGGAACCCCCGCCCCTCCCTCTTTTTTGACACTTGCTGGTTCTCGAAGACGGTACAACCGATCAAGCTGAAATTTTTAGCACAGACAGAGCACTAAAAATAAAGAGATACGTGTTCGAAGAAAAAAAACTGAGATAAGTTTTTGTGGGGTTTTCAGGAAAATTCTGGTTTTTCAGAGATCCACATCCTGACACATTACGAGTCCTCCTTAAAGTTTGTCCGATTGGGCTGAAATTTTGTTTATAGATGCCTAACACTATTACTCAGAGGTAAATTGAAGGATTTCCAAAAATCTCACTTTCGTTTTTTTTATAGGAGAAATACGCCAAGATTTGAGTTTGTGCTTTGGGTCTTGGCTTTCGCGACCCTGTAACTCTGAGTAGGAACATCAAAAATGAAAACGCTTGATTTTACCTCTGGAGAATACTTCAAAGTATTAGTGGTAAAATTTTCAGCTCGATCCGACAAACTAAAAAGGGGGTCGTGAGCAGTCAAGATTTAGAAAATCACTGTTTTACAAAACTCTAAGTAAAAGAAAAAAATTTACATACGATTACTATGAAAAAAAAATTTTCTCGATCTAATAACTACGTAAAAGTAAAATATTTAGAGTCGAATAATGTCTTTAGTTGCATTGGGCACTTCAGGCTACCGTATCTTAGACTCAGCTCGACATCAAGTTTTTGGTCACTAAAGAGAGGGGGGGGATACTCTTAAGACGTTTCCCTATTTCTGTTCTTATTCTGTTTGTAATGAAACTCTCTTATGTCATCTTTTGTAAAATACGGTCTAAAATGAATGCTGCAATAGATAGGGTAGATATTTATATCCTCGTCCCTGTGTCAGACAGACTGGAGCGGACGTTGTTAATATGCAATCAGAGATCATATCTCAATAACATCATGTTGTAGTATATAAACTACTTCCTTATTACATTTATAGAAGACTAAATATAAGGATAGTAAAGAAATGTGTCTCAAAATAGATAGAATAAAATAATCTCCTTATGATTAGCAACAGCAACTACATCCCGCTTCACATTTTAATTCCTCAAGGATTACGCTAATAGTTTTTTAAAATTTATGCTCGATTTATAACTCTGATATATCCATACGCACAACATATTACTACTGCTTTGTTCTTGAAAGTCAAACTATTATCATGGTTTTTAACATAATTACTATCGAACATGTTCGGCAAAAATTGATTTTTCTTATATGATGTCAACTCATATGACAGATTCAATGGATTACAACAATTCAATTTCGCCAATAACAGACCAACAATTACTCCTAATAAAGTTTCTATTGTAAAGTTTCACTGATAAAAATTAAAATTTGTAGAAAATTTACATATTGTTCATGTATTTCTATTTTTTTTTCAATAAATAATTCTTTTTTATATTTGATTTTAAGAATATAATGTATATGTATAACGAAGATAAGAGATAATCATAAATTCAACAATAAACTTTTATTAGCAAAACTTTTTAATTATCAAGTTTAGAATCCGACTTATTTAAAATCTTGAACATCTTTCGGAAGCCATAATATAAAATACTTCGAATTTCTTTATTCATTAGAATTTATCTTATAAGATCTCATTATGAGTTAGTAGTAGAAATAATAAAGAGTAAATAAAATATAAAAAAAAAACAAATATATTTTCTATATTAACTTAAATTTTATTCGTGTCAAACGCAGGAAATTAGATTAACATATAGATAATTTTTATCAAGCATTCATGTCATGTATCTGCTATGGTCACATCCTCTCCAATTATCATATATATGCATGAGATAAGTATATTCTTGGAAAAAACCAGATTCCTTCTATTTTTAAACAAAAAATTCTCTTTGTTCGTACTTGATTTTACTATAGAAGCTTTGATGTAGTTTTCTTTCGATCAAAATTAACTGAATTTGAATGATGACGCCTACTACTTCTATTTCATCTCTAATAAATGTGTTTAAAAGTGATATGTGAATGCTACTTAATAATAATCACATTGATTCGATTATAGTACAAGAATCATGAACAACTTATACTACAAAGACACATATAGCAAGCGTGTTATCAAAGCACTCTATCTTTATTGATGTTGATTTCAATATAAAATCAAATTATTCACATAATATTCTAATACATTCCTATCTATATGTAATATCATATATGTAAATAGAATACAGAAAATTAGAGTCAAACTTTTTCGCCAGCAAATTCTACTATAATCGGCACAAAATGTATGCAGAATATAAATACTTGCTCATAATTTATTCTGTTTAATTATTATTTATTTTAATTATCTTTTAAAATACTCTTTAATCTAAGTTTAAGTGAATATTTGCTGGTAACAATAATCACTATATCTCAATTTAAAATACACATAAAATGTCATTTAATCGTTTTAAAAATCGTCCAATTGTTCGTTTCTTTTCTCTAAACAAACAATTTAAACTATGACAAAATCTGCCATAAGCAATTTTTATTTTCGTTCTTTTTATATCGTTTAGTTTTTTAACAAAAAAAAAATCACAACATTTTCACTTTAAAAATATGCCATCAACATGCACTATTAACAAATGCAAACATACATCGTATGCCATATGTCATTGTTGCCAACAAAATATATGTCGAATTCATTTGAAAGAACATCAAGATTTATTTATATCTCAATTAGATCCTTTTGTTAATCAGATTAATATTCTAGAAAATCGAGTTAATACAATGGAAATTGAAAATATAATTGATATTGTTCGTAAAAGATTGGAGCAATGGCGTATAGATTGTTACAAAAAGATTGATAAATTCATTGAAGAAAAATGTTATCAACTTACACAATATATGAATATAAAAATTGATAAACAACGAGAAAATATTGATGAAATACGATCAAAATTAACTAAACTTATCTATAAACAAGAAGTAACATTTCAATATATTGATTCTTTAAAGTATAAAATTAATGCTCTAGCAAAAGAAATCAATAAAATTGAACAAACATCATTTGATATTCAAATTCAATCATTTATTACTAATGATAATTTAATTCGAATTAAAGAATCAAATCCATATCAATTTGATCTTTCATCACTTTCTCCAATAATTAAAACAATTAATTGTACGAAAAGAAATTGGGCTGCATTAGCAACAAATGAAAAATTTTTATTAATACATCAAGAATCATATTTATGTTTAGTAGATCAAGAATTTACAATTATTAAAAAAACTTTATGGTCTTTTGGAGAAATTTGGGATATGTTTTGGTCATCAGTATTAGAACGATTTATTCTTATTAATGAAAAGAATGTTTTTCTTCTTGATGAAAATAAAATGTCTATCGAAAATATTCAAATAGCAACTAAATATAATTGGTGTTGTGGTACATGTTCTAATAAATCTCTATATCTAGCAACATATAAACGTGGTTCATCTATTATAGAATTGAAATTATTACCATCAATAGAATTTGTCAAACTATGGAAATCTCCTGATACATGTTCAAAAGATGAAGGAATTCATGATCTAATTTATAATGATGAAAAACTTTTATTCATTATTGAAAATCAATTAGAAAGAAGAATACGTGTTGAATTAAGATCTTCAAAAACATTAAATTGTTTATGGTTTCTTCCACTTGATAGTGCAGATAATCAAAAAGTTCAAATTCGTTGTTGTATATTTAATTATGATGAATGGATTGTTGTCTATCATGATTTAAGTCGTCTTTTACATCTTACAAAAGATGGAAAATTGAAAGGATCATGTTCATATACACCATCTCCTCATTTTGCTTCAACATTTGGATCAAATCTATTCGTCGTAGCAACTTCAAATAGTATAAATTTACATCAAATTCAATTATAAGAAAAAAGAAAATAAGTTTATTATTATACAGACAAAACAATAACTGATGATTCGTTCTACAATAGTTGATGTAATAGATTATTTTTAAAACTCTTGAAAACTGAATTATATTTGTTCATTTCAATCGGTTTTTTTAATAATAGATAAATTTTTGTATCGAATATTGAAATGAATCAGTTATATATATAAATTTAACAAAGTATTAAGTGTCAAGGAATAAGAAGGGTAGAGTAAATTCAAACTGTTATCGCAAATACTTTTCTTTCCAGCAATTCTATTAAAAACAGATTGACCGACGGGAAAGATTTAGATACAATGGTTTTTCTATATCAGTACCATAGATATTATCCATAGAATTCACTGTCATGTTAAAAGGATAATCAAATGAGAAGAACGTATCATCACCTACTTCTTTCCTTGAGATTACCAGCAATTCATATCCAACTATTGGCACTCAATACCAAACAACAATATCATTACAATGATAGATACAAGTCAACAAACTATTTGATGATAATTTGAGGTAAAAAAAATCTAGTGAATATAGTTGAGTACGGTTTGTTCGTTCTGTATTATTCTCAACTATTCTAGGATCAGTGATTGCATCTTAAACGTTACTCATCACACGATGTTTCCGAGTATCTACTATGTAGTGTATTAAATGAATCGATTGGCAGTTGAAAAGGATTTTACAATTAATTATATGCTGAATCAGTTAGATCAGTAGATGTAACTGTGGTCATATCTGACAAATTTCGTTTAAGTAATACGGTAAGATCTAAACAAAAATTGAATTAATTATTGTACTTATATTTCTTTGTATCAACAAAGATAATGAAAGTCTCACTTATCGAAATACGCTCGCCTTGATTGTTATAGCAGCAATGAGAATATAAATCTTTCTTATAATTCCTATTAAAACAATCGTTGAAGTATAGTGGAAAATAGTATTAAGTTTTATTAGATATTTCTTCTTGTGTAAAGATTTTTTTGAGTATTGAGTTAATAAGAATGATTTAATTTCATTATTATTGCATAACAAAGAATGTAACTATTAGTTTTGATATGCTTTCTTATTTATCATTCGTAATAATGATAATGACGAACTCAATTTGAGTGTATGTATCGACATAAGCAATGTATTCACAGAAGACTATCAACAATTATTGATATATTGTCTCTCACCATATGTTACTTTAATCTCAATAGGCCTTGTATACGGATCTCAAGGTTATGATGTAGTTATATTCAAGAATGTCTCCCAGAAGTAATATACAACTCAAAAAAGATTTTACTCATTACGCTGGCTAATAAAGAATAATTGTTGATCTGTCTAATTATTGAAACACACATTACGAAATAAGAAGATTATCGAAAGAATAATTATTTATTTCAATGATAATTCGTTTTCTTTTATTTTTTGGATACATACTGTACAAAAATATAGACAGAAACTGCAAGTATTATCTGAGACTATCGCCAATAGTTTCCCTCATCGAAATAGAAATCATGAAATGTAAGCATTAGCAATAGACACATTACTGAAAATCAATAGTATTGATTTCAACGAGGTCTCTTCCGATGAAATATATATTGACTGGATAATTTTCCATGATTGAGAATGCATGCATTCTCTTACATATCCAATTTTCTCAATACACATATCTAGAAGAAAAGAGAGAGCAAGAATTGATCACAAATAATTTTTAAGATAAATTAGACCAGTATTTGAACGTAGTATTTGCTACTAACTGTAGTTGTGATGTTATCCAAAACCCTATGGAAATAAATGTGACTCAAACAGATCGATATATATTCATTGTGTTGTACGTCAAAAATGTGAATAGATTTCTTTCATATGGAAAATATAAATCATATTCAAATTGTATTTCTATTTTATGTCTTAGAAATTTTTTGTTTTTGTATTGAACTCTACGATTCTCATTAATATTTTAATTATTCAATAGTCTCTTATAAGATTGATATTAATAAAGTAAATAAAAAAGTACCTTACGTTTTCATTAAGTTTGCATAGTTCGAAAGCTGGTTTTTTGTTTTGACTCATCACTTCAAATATAAACAACAATTCCATTAATTTCTCAAAATAAAACTGTATTGACTTCATTTTTATAATACAAATTATATACAACACACATCACATATGTTGGATATTTAAGTAGAATTGAAACTAGATTTATCGATGTGAAAAAAAGAAGTGATTATATTTCATTGAACTCAAAATTTTCTTAAAGAAGAACTGTTTATATATTTATATAATCGATTCTGTTTAGTTAAATCCATGACTGCTAAGAATATTTTTTGTCATATGTCTCATTGATTATTATTATTATTATCAATGTAAGTCTACTATCTAAGAATGGTAACGAAAAGATTTCGAATATAAAAATTTTTCTTTACATCACATAGTAAATTATAATTATATTATCTTTTAATAACCGAATACATAACGTACCTAACTGATTAAAATGATAATAAGATCGATAATACTTGACAAATACATAGAAGAATTAAACTTCACAATACTCGATCTATACTATAAGAACGCAGCTGCTTTCATATAAGTACTCAATAAGAAAGAGATTTCATTGAATGCTTCAAGTATTGTTATTTCACTGTCCGTCATCACTTAACTATATTGAATAGACTCAAGTTTGTACGATCCATACTAACAGACAGTATGCGACAGATACGAATTACATTTGTATAGCTCAAGGCAATCGACGACAACTTGCATCAAGCATAAAATCTTATTAAAGAAACAAATAAGGAAGAATTCTTTCGATGAAAATAATGTGATTGAAAACAAGTCTTGTTCTCATTTGAAATATAGATATTAGATAAATAATATGTCGTGTTTGAAAGTTTTCTCCGTAAAAATTATTTCAAGACTAAAGAGTTCATAAATAATGTACAGCATAATCAAATTTATTATGATAAAATGAAATGATTTTTCTAAAAATATAATATATGTCAATTTAATATCTCAAAAAGAAAAATCAAATTTACATATTGACAGCAAACATCACTCATTTTGAAAAATACACAAAACAAAATGTTACGACATTTTTAATTGACTCAAAAAAAAAATATAATATCATTTCAAATATAAGTCCTTATGCAGGTCAACAAGTAAAAGAATATATTGTTAATCATGGTTGAATCTTTCGAAAAATCTATCGACCTCAACTATTGCAACCATAGCATACATGTAATTCAATAGAAAAAAAAGGTAAATAAGTTCTGTTATTTCTTTTTAAGGTCATCATATATTTCATTTGATTGATAACATTATTAATCTTGAGACTGTCATGAGAGTTTTTAGAAATGATTATTATTTGATAGTTGTCAAATCAGCATTTTTTATTTTATACAAGAGAAAACAATAGAATAGAAATAATTACTTGCATGATTACATTTAATTTAGATAGTTCGATAGTCATTTTGTTTGTATTTTAAAATGATTTTATAGCCATTAGTTTAGCAAAAGAACAATAATTATCCGAATTTCATTTTATCTTTAACTGCTGATATTTGACTTCCTATTAATTCAAGCATAGTAAATATGTAATGATATATCTAATATCATTAAACAGAATTGTGATTGAATTAACAAATAATTTTCATGGTTGTTAGTTATGAGAAAGTTATTTTTTCTTTTTTATTACTAAAAAAGAAAAGAATTTCTATCATGTATCAGATGTTTCATTTCCTTCTTTAATTCAATTCATTGTAAAATCTCAAGAGTCATATATTAATTGATTCATCTCAAGTAGTTATGACTTATGAAAATCTTAGATCATTACTTAGATGAATATAATCTTTTCTTTTTTTTTCTTGTTAATCATGAGCGTATTATTTTACATCATTATATTTTATAATGGATGATGTCGTTTTCTATTTATTTGTAGTGTTGTTATGCATCTCGGCACTATCATATACGTGATGAATGGATTATTTTTTTGTATATATTCAGCTTCTCATCATTAAACGAAGAAATTTCTCATGTAAGAAACGTGATTCAGAAAACAATATTTAGTCATTTATTCACATGAATTAGTACCTAATTATCATATTTATCGATCGACAAATGTTATGAATGGGAATTTTCTGAATAAGTTGTCAAATAGTTTTTGTTATTTTTACAAATCAAATATTTTCAATCAAAAGAGAAGAATAGAAATAATGAATGACTATTGTATACGTCAACGAAAGAAATAAATGCATATATACGACATTGAAGAACTAAATCGATAATGTATAGTAAAAAAAAAAAAAGGACAAGGACTCAGTCTTTGTTCTTTGCCCTCATGCACATTCCGAATGAATTCTACGCTGATTCTATCTTTTCATATAGATAGTAAAAAAGAAAAAAGACAAAAAATTAGCTGGATGTCTCATTTGCATACAAAAAAAAAACAGCAGTATGATGTTCTATTGCTATTGACGAGCTGTCTTTGCCGTTTCGATAATCGAATTTTCTTCTAAAGGCAACATAGTCATCCTTCTATTCTACATGTGTGTAGACATATTTCTACTTATACTGTATCCAAGTAGAAATTCCGGATATGTATGCATCTTACTGTTCGATAAAAAGATTCATGAAATACTAACATGGACATTATTTTATATTTATCTTTTATGGATTTTTTTTGATGAAAAAAAGAAAAGGAAAAAAAGAAGTAAATTGACATCCATGTAGACAATTTCATTTAATTAGACTACTCGCTCGACAAGCACATAAGTGTTACTTTTTGTCGCTGCACGCTTGTTCGCTTATATTCAATCATTTATTTAATTCATTCGACTAACAGACAGAAAACATGTCTAAATAGACAATTATATAAAGAAGAACACAATAACTCTTCATCAACATAAAAAAGAAGTATTAATTTTAAATTAATTTGCTGACATAATTCATGCATATTATTCACAAAAAAAAAACCGTTCTCTTAATTAATATTGTCATCATTATAATTGTTTGAAAGGAAAAATACTGATAGAATCAATCTATTGAATTATTTAATATTATTCTTTCGATTAGTTATATATATTTCTCTTTGTAAATCTATATATTATCATCTATATCTATAATAATAAACAGAGAATTATTCGAAAACATCTTAAATATAGTCAAATGACAAACTAGATAAAAACAAAATATTCATTTAGTAGAATGTATGTTAAAAAAATATTATGTATGTATAATTATGTATTGCGTATGCATAATCTTTTTTTTTCTATCTTCAAGAATATTGTCTGTTTTCATTTCATTAGTCCGTCTATAGACAACAGTAATATCCTCTTCTACTTCTCTTACAGTCGTTCTATATTGCCGAAAGGGAATTTTGAGTAATGTGAAACATCGTTATTGTCGTCCCAGCTCCTCGTGTATTAAAATGAGCAAAATCAAGAGAGGAGAGAGAAAGAGAAACGGATTTATATCATCATCATCATCATCATAGTGCTAGAATAGAGAGCAGCTGCCTGCCATTTGAACAATTGGCTAAACGGTGGGTGACGATAGAAGTGTCCGGATAAGTAAAAATAACATCTTTTAGCAATAATGACGTGTGTATATATGAATATATGTACAAGCAATATGTCCAAATAGATATAAACACAATCATTGAATGAGAGACATAGAGAAGTCATATAAATGGATGAATGGCATCAGCCATCAGCTCTTTTTCTACTGTTATTCAATTTGATAATGCCGACTCGTATCGATTAGTGTATAGATACATTAGTAAAAGAGCAGTAACACATTAGCGTATATCCTTTACCTGTTCTCTGGTAAACTTCTCTGTTACAAATTGTACTTAATCGATATTCTATCTATCTTGGTCAATGTATATGTTGAACTGTTATATGATTACGTGCAAAACAAAATAAAGGCTCATTGTACTTAATGAGATAATAGAGTAAGAGCGTTAGACAAAAAAACAGATTCTCTCATAATCTATTATCTTTCGTCACCATATTAGTAAACATCATCAACTTACACATAATTATTATATTATCCTTCTTTTTATAAAAAAATATTATAATAAAACTTAAAATGACAACAATTTTATTCATTTATTTTTTATTTCACTAGATGTTTCTCGATAGTCTATTTACTATATTGATATGATAAGAATGTGGCAGAAAAACAAGAGGTTCAGTCATCATAGTACTATATCAAAGTGAGCACTGAAAAAGAAAAACTATTTATTCACTCAACCGTTTTTTTCCATGATGAGAACTGACTGCCCATACATTTATAGAAACCGTAAAAATCTAATTATTCTTTTTTTTTTTATGTTTTTCTCTCCGTTTGATTGCAACAAATGATCAATATAGATTTACTCTATCCAGATGTCATTTGTCGATTGATGCTCTCATATACATATATACATATATAGATAGATATGTATATGTAGTATTTATACCAGGTATACGTCAAATTATGAGCTTATTCAATAAGAATCTAGTTACAACAATATTCAAATCTGTGTTTTCTATTATAGCACAGTCAACGAGTCAGTTTGTTTTCTTTCTCTTGCGACTCTTTTTCTTCTAGCACTTTTTCTTTCAACCCTACCATCGCTACTATGCCGTTTTCATCTTAACAGTTTGACTATTGGGATCATAGTGCTCGGCTTACTAATGGAATTGGAATCGACGCTCTATCTGGAGTAGGAGATCATAGTGCTAGTGCACATCTTGTATTTTTGACGAGCGGAGGAGACATTCTCTTTTTCTCCTCCACATTTTCATCAGATTAAGGGTTTTTAGATCAGTCATTATTATTTTTGTCTGATGACAATTACCATATAGTCTTGTCTGATAAATAATAGATAATAAATTAAAAACGTTTTTAGTTATTCACATTTTGTTTTAGGATATAATCGTCTCTTTATTTCACTATTATTATCTATGTCTAGAGAGACAATATAACTATTTAACATAATTTTATTTATTATTATAATCAAATGGACTTAAACGCCCACTCATATTTAAATGATACTACATCAATAGAGATCAGTAATGGTGTTACAATTGGAAATGAATTTAAATTGGGTATTCTTAAAATATGTTTATTTAGTACTTTTTTTGTACTTGGTCTTATTGGTAATTCACTAGTACTCATTGGTATTGGACTTAATAAAGGCATGCAAACGACCACAAATTTATTAATATTTAATTTAGCACTTGCTGATATTTTATTTATTATTGTTTGTATACCAACGACTCTATTTAGTTTTTTTGGTCGTTGGCCTTTTGCAGAAGTTGGTTGTAAATTAGGTAAATTAGGAAAAAAAAAAATCTTCTGATGTCAATTTTTACCAAATTTATTTATTTCATGTTTTTTTTTCTTTGTTTTTATTCTAAATTGTATCTTTCTTTTATTCTAGCGCAATTCATTAATCACTTATCTGCTTTTATGAGCATATATTTGCTTGTATTCATGTCAATTGATCGTTATCTTGCTGTTGTTCATGCTGTTGATTCCTTTGCAAATTATCGAACAACAAAAAATACGACAATATCTATTATGTATGATTTTTTTTTCTTCATTGTTCATTCTCAAAGGCTTAGATTATAATCTCAAAAAGAAAAACAACAATCACTAATATTTCTAGAGGAAATCCATATACAATTAAAATTAGCATTCTTTGTTTTTGTCAAATAAAATCGAAAAAATAATTATAGGTCAAAGCCACTCCTATAGAATATTTAATTAAAGGTTAAATATCTCAACAAAAATGTTTTCTTTCATTATAACAAATTATCATGCATACATTTACTCCATGCACTATTGCTCTTAGTAAAATTTATTCAGTTCTTTTTTCTTTCTTATAGAGCTCTTTGGTTAATTGGTATTTCTATATCTATGATTATCGGGTCATTATTTACTGTCATCAAATTTGGAGGTGATCAATCATCTGTATCTATGTATTGTCTATTGCGTTATTTAAAATTAGATTTTGATAGTATATCCATAACGCCGAATACAACTCTTTTTGAAACAATGAATTTTTCTAGAACTATTTCATTATTTAATAATAATACAGATGATATAGCTAGTAATGGTCCAATTCAAATTTTACCTATTGAAGCAAGTTTCTATTGGCTTGGTTTTGTTATATTTCTTTATGCACTTCCGTTAACAATAATTGTTATTCTCTATGGATTAATGTTAAAATTTTTACGTGGAACTCGTGGTCAATCAGTTGGGAAAAGTAAACGACGTGCAACGCGTATGATATTAGCTGTTATTTTAACTTATGCATTATGTTGGTTTTTTATGCAATTATTATTTATTTCAAATGTTATACTTTCAAGAAATACAAGTCATACATTTGCTACATATATGGATATTTTAACAATGTTGGCCAATGTTTTTGCTTATCTTAATTCTGTATGTAATAAGATTAAAATAATTTTTGGAGACAAACAAAAAAAGGTTTTCTTTTTTCTATTTAGTGTACAAATCCAATTCTATATGGTTTTATGTCAAAAAATTTTCGTTCATCATTTATTGACGTACTTTGTTGTCGATATTCAAAACGACATCTTTATGGAGCTAATCACAGTTTACGTAATCGACGCATGACAGAAAATTATATAAAGAATTTTAATTCAAAATATCGAAAAACTGATTACCAGATACGATCATCAGTTGCTTCACATTTATCACAATTAAATCCAATAACTGGAATATCAAATGCAGGTGGTGGTACTGCTTGTTCATCATCATCACGTCTTACAACAGAATTATTATCACAATATGATCGACGAGAATCAGCAAATGATGAACGTAAATTATCAATAGATAATCATAGTTCGTGTCATATTACAGTTGCAACACAAACAAATACATTAAATAAATCACATCGAAGACGAAAACATGGGGATCGATCACCAGTCGTAGCTTATTCTTCATTACCATCAAAACCAACATCAAAAACTACTGAGGTGCTATGCACATAGAAAAGAAAAATTTCGAACTATTTTTTTTTTCTTGCTATAATTATTAATTTGTTTTTCTCAAAGAAAGAATCGATAACAAAAAAAACAAACAAACATTTGATAAACGAGAATAATCAGAAAAAAGAATCATGTCCTTTTTATGCATATATAAATTTAAAAAAATATTGTTCACTGTTTATAATAAATGTCTACTTCACATGAACTCGAAAAAAATAATCAGAGCTTTGGTTTTAGAAAAAAAACTTCTTATGAATATACCTTGATTCATTAGTTATCTCTTTTTACTTGGGTAATCTATTCGTCTTCATCTTATTCAAATAATTTAGTACTTTATATATTTTAAAATTCGAGATGGAAATTAAATATATTCTTTTTTTTTTTGGTTATTATTTGTTTTTTTCTGTTGAAAGTCAACAAGATAAAAAAGAACGATGTCAAAATGTTAATGATATTTTCGACTGAGAAATATTAATTATTAGTAATGATTTCATCAACAATTCAACTATAGAACCTTTTAAATATGATTAAAATTTAAATAATGAGATGAGATGATGCAAAAAAATATATTCTTAAATATAATAAATTTCTTTCAGAAAATATTATTTGTTTTGCAATTTATAAAACATGAGAATTTTTATTATCGAAAACATTACTTCATTATTCTTTATATATTTATTGATAAATTTTGTTTCTATTTCTTCTTTTCTATTCTGCCTCTTCTATTATGATTACTAAATTCTATTTTTATTTATCTATCAGCGAATTTAATATATTACAATAGACTAACAACTACAGTTTCATTTTGTTTGTATGTTAGACGATTATTTAATTGATTCTATCTGACTCCGATTTCAACATTCCTATTTGTCGATTTCTCGCTGTTGGTTATCAAGAACATTAATGATATTCAGTTTAACTCATCCTTGATTATGTTGTTGCTACTGATCGTATTCTATTTATTTTTCCTAGTATATAGCGGTTAGAAGTTCAGAAATATAATAAGTTCAATGAAGGTTACTACTATCTAAGGTTCAAATCATAGTATATTCATTCTTCCATGTATGAACTACAATGACGAACTACAGTTTAATGACACTTATATTATCAAGCTTGCAGAAAAAAAATAATAAAATGTAGGACGCATAGATCAAATAACATCAATATTATTTCAATACTCGGAAGTTTTCTTCGACATAAATTTATTTTCGAGTGTGTCTGTGTCCTTTATTTTTCTGCATTGATAATTAGATACTGTATACCCACTTATTCGAAAATCTTTCTATTAAAAAAGCAAAAATAGATTCAATAATTTTTTTTCTGCATGACAATGGCTCATCACATTGTAAGGATGATAGTGGAACGACAAAAACAAATTAACATAAAAAAGGAAACGCTGCGAGTAGGATTCGAACCTACGCGGGAGAACCCATCTGATAACTTGTCACTGACATTTCGTGATTCAAGTCAGACGCCTTAACCACTCGGCCATCACAGCACGTTAATCAATTCAATTTTTTTTATTACTACAAGGCACTAATCGTAATAGTAACATCGTTCTTTTATCGTCATAATTGAAATCTTCAAGATGATTTGCAAGATTACTATGTAATGAAAAAATATAAACAACATGAAATATTTCAGTCAAAAAAATAATTTATCATCACACATAATCTAATCTAGTAAAGGAAATATGTCATAAATAAAACGGATGTTTTATGTGCAGTATAATGTAATACGTCTATTTTCGAATATGATCATTTTGTAACTGATATATATATATGCACATAGAAGAAGTTTCATGCATAAATCAGTTTCTATCAAAATGAACGACATAAATGAAAAAATTTATTCAATAATTTTTCGCCATGATGTAAGCAGTTCACTATATTACATTTTCGTTTCAACGTATATGGTTAAAAAAAATACGGAAAGGAATGCACAAATCTTCTTTCATTAAAACAAATCTAATACCGTTTTGAAATTTATGACAGGAATATTTAATATGGATTTTCGAAAGTAAAAACGAACAAAATCAGACAATATCTCATTTTCACAGAGCACTGTTTATTCTACGATAACGCACACATGTATATATATATGTATAAGATTAGTTTGATTTTTTTATGATAATATCGAGATCCAAGAAAAATAGCGCTAGTATGTCGTCGTTTTCCGTCGTTTCATAAAACGAAGAAAATATTAGGAAACAGACGATAGTCGTTTCTTAGAGGAAATAGCGGTCCGTAAAAATCGAATGAAAGATTATGGTGACCTATCGTGAAACTTAATTCAGTAATACAAAGTTTTACAGTCGTTTTCTGACGGTCGGTATAATTATCTTGAATAATGCTAAATGTCTTATATCATTTAGTCCTGAGAGATACATAAATTACTTTGTGACGATTAGACAATGTTTTTGTTATTATTTAATTACTTAAGAGTATTTCTTGCCTTCTGTTTTCAAATGAGACATTTAATTTAATACATCTAACGTTATGAAAGATAACAATTTAAAAAAAATATAAAATTTCAGTAATTCTTGTTTTTTTGCATTGAGCCACTCAACAACATGGTAAAGGTGAAAAGAAATATAACTTTTCCAATAGACAAACAAGAAAAAAATTTAATCAGAATAAAAAAGAAACGCTGCGAGTAGGATTCGAACCTACGCGGGAGAACCCATCTGATAACTTGTCACTGGCACTTCGTGATTCAAGTCAGACGCCTTAACCACTCGGCCATCACAGCACGTTAATTGATTCAATTTTTTTGTATTACTACAAGTCACTAGCTAGAGCACAGAAGGTACATTGTTGCTGTCGAAACCGACATGTTAAACAGATATCAAACGCCGTATTACTACATTAAATTTCACAGTATTCTACCATCATCAGTTATCTAATGATACGACTGTTTTTTTGCTAGCTAACATCATTTTTTTCTCTTACTATTTTCATCGTTTTATGCAATTATAAAAAATGACAACGTAGTAGCAGCCGATCTTCCCGTTACATATCGTCTATGGTCATTTGCATTTAACAAATTAAATATTTCATCAAGAAAACGGATGTTTTATATGCAGTATAATATAATACGTTTATTGTCAAATATGATCAATTTGTAACAGACGTACTTGAATACATATAAGACAAGTTCAATGCATAGTACTAATTTCTATCAATCTGAAAGACAAAAATAAAAAATGTTAAAATTAATTTAAACGTTCAGTCAATGGTTTTTGATTATGATAAACATGGTTCACTCTATCACATTATATTTTCAATGTACATGATTAAAAATAAACAATACAGAAAGGAATATATCTTCTATCGTTAGAAAAGATACGATATAGTTCTGCAAATTTATCATAGAAACATCAAAAATATATTTTGAAAAGTTAATAAAAAAAAACGCGTGCAAAACTCGACAATATTTCATCTTATACAGAATTGTTTATTCTATACTACTAAATGCATAAAAGAATTAGTCTGATGATATTATCATAATAAAATTTCATTCCTTTTATCATTGAGTCCCGAGAGATAGATAATATACTTAGCGAAGATTGTAGTTAGTATTAGTCAGTATTTCAATATGCAAAAAAATTTTTTAAATATTGGATAGATTTTTGAATAATTCCCTTTCTTTTCATGTTTTCAAACGAAAATATAACTCTATGCATCTGATTGTATGATAGAAAAATGTTATGATAAAAATATAGTTTCTATAACTTTCTTCGTATTGAATTACTATACAACATGATAAAAGTGAAAACAATTATAGCTGCGTCAATAGAAGAAATAGAAGAACAAGAAAAAAGTTAATGAAAAAAAAAAGGAGCGCTGCGAGTAGGATTCGAACCTACGCGGGAGAACCCATCTGATAGCTTGTCACTGACACTTCGTGATTCAAGTCAGACGCCTTAACCACTCGGCCATCACAGCATGTACATACTACGATTTTGTTTTAACATCATTAATCAAAGTGCCTTTTCAATATTGCGATTTAAAGTAAAAAAATGTTTTTCATCCAATACTTTCAACTTACTAATATTTAATTCTGAATTTGTAAAGAAATAGATATTTGTCAATAATACTTCTCTTAATGAATAGTTCGATCAATGATTGTAAGAAATACATATAAGTGCTGATTTTATTTTTTATTCAAGCATAGTAAAGAAAAGATATATATATATATATATCACTATTTTTTAATTTAAAAAAATTATGTTACAAAAATTTTCTATAAATTTATAATCAATATTTAATGTTTTTTTGAATCAATTAAATGTCGTTTTAAATGCCAACCACAATAAGTATGACTACAACATTTGCATTCTTTTTGCCATGTATCTGTTCCACATGTATAACATTTTTGTTGAATAGATGGTTGATATTTTGGTTTTGATGGAACGACTGGTACAATTGGTGGTGGTGTAGGTGGTTTAGGTTTTTCATTTATTGATTCATTTTCTACTAAAAGTTTTACTTGTATTGCTGGATTCCAATCGATGGGTTGAGAAATAATTTCAATACGTGGATAATATTTCTTATTTTGAAAACTTTCATCAATTTCATCTATTTGATGTGTTAGTTTTTCAATATCTTCTTCAAGAAAATTTTCTCGTTCCATTTTTTGTTGAATAGTTTCAGTTATTTGATTTAATTTATGTTCAATTTGAGTACGTGATTGTTGTGAATATTGATCAAGTTGTTTTCTTGCTTGATCAGCAATTTGTCTTGCTTGCTCTTTTATATCTTGTTCCCATTGATCAATTATATTCCATGCTTCAAATTTTGTTGGTTCAAATGTTGAAACAATTGTATTAAAATAATATTCTTGTAATGTATTACGTCGAGTAACAACATGTTCAAGTTCAAGAGAAAGATTTTGACGATGAATTTGAAAATGTTTTACACAGAAAACTTTTTTACATCCAAGACAAGGTACAATACCTTCTTGTTTATCACAATCAGGACATAACATTGTTGTTGCCATTGCTATATTTGTTGTGAAGGTAACATAGAAATCTTTTTCTTCCTTACGTAGTTACCTATTCTTTTCAATAAAGCAATATAGAATAGAGGGCATTGGATTGACAATGTTAGAATAGTTTTTAAATTCAGTTTAAAAACATCAGCTAAAGTTCAAAAAAGAAAAACGTGAAGATGGATTCCAGAAATGAGATTGGATTTTTCTTTTTTTTTTTTTTTTTTGAAACCGAAATGAATCGCAATATTTCGACAGAGATGTGCCCATGCGAGAAGGAATAAACATTTCTCACTTTTAAAAAATTGTATATTCTTGAGCCGAATCAAAACTTATGGACAAGTTAACAAATGTATATTAGAGTATCAGATTTAGTTGGGATCGGTTTGCAATTTTTTGGAACCGAACTGATCTCATATCTGATTTATACATCCTTTCAGTAAGTCGAGTTAGATTAATTGCTTCAGAAATATTTCAGTTCAGGTTTCATTCTCTTATATATGCATACGGATTAGAAAATAATACAGCTATTTCAAATGAGTTCAAGACTAATTTATTTAATACTTTGATAATTTCATCAATTACAACTGTATCTTTCATTTAATTACACCATACGTTTGTCTATGATCAGTTTGAAATTTTTCACAAAATGCAATGTATCTAAATTATTACGATAAAAATTTCAACATTATTTTTTTTTTATCATTTTGTAGAAAATATATTCCACATTTTTCAGAATACAAATGAATTTTTTTAAATAATTAACTAATTATTGTAGATTTTTATTATATAATATCATTTTGTTTCAGATATGATGACTTATAAAACATATTTCATGATATTGATTTTATTTCAGATAATATCATAATCTATCTTATTTCTACATTCCCCAAAGGCCTTAAATTGTATTACATGAAGAAAAAAAAAAAACAAAATAGTGATCTTTATCATTTTGTTTTTAAAATGAGATGATACACGTGTTATAGGTAAAGAATAATCATGATTAAATATTTTTACCAATTGAAATATATTTTATTAGCGCTAATTGTTTTGTTTCTATGAAAATAATTTTATATGAATCATTTATCATCTGATATTTCAGAATCCATTATCCATAATCATAACAATAATAATTCCGAAGATCAAATTTTATCTATTGGCTCAGCTAGTACACTTAAACGAGCGATGACAGTAAAAACATTAAATGAAATGTTTGATTGTATCAAAGATATGAAATTTTATGCTAAAACTATTGAACAAGATTTACCAGAATATTTCAAAACAAGATCTATAAATAAAAAAAATGAAATAGATACAATGGAATTTGAAATTGATGATTTTATTCAATTAGCTAAACAACGTTTAAATAATAATCGTTATATTCTCCTTAATGATTTAATCGAACAAAAAAAAGTATATTTTTTTTTTTTGTATCATGAATGAAATAAAAATTTTCATATTTTATAGAAATCAAATGAATCTCAATTACAACAATCAATAAAAAATAATTATAAGAAATCATTAGTAGAAAAACAAGTTGAATATATGAAACGTGTTATTGCTGCACAACCATCAGCTCTTGAAGCAATTTATTTAGAAGCATTACTCAATCCAGATCAATGGCAATATAATCATCATCTTCTTCAAACATCACCTATGGATAACTTAACATCAAATGAACGAAAACGATTAAATGAAATTTTAAATAAATATGAATAAAATCATATAGATCGAAAGACTTTAATAATTAACTTTCGTCTTCTTTTATTCATATCGTGTGCAACAAATTTCCTGTCTTTCGGAACTCATGTGAAGCTTTCTTTTCTTTTATTTTTAAATATGAATGTATTCGACGTAGGAAACGTCTTCCGGTGATGAGTGAACAAAAACACAGTACGTGTCATCATTTCCTTGATATCAAGTCTATTTTCAAATCATTAAATTATAAATCAAGCAGAAATGAAAAAACAAAAAGCTAAACAAACTTGTTATTCGTATCAAGAAAAGAAGGTATTAATATGACTCCCTACTGATGAACAAGATATAAATACACTCACATACATTCATATCGATTATATTATTATGATTGAAACGGATTAAAAACAATTGTCATTGAACAAGATTTTCTTTTGTTATTCATAAATATATATTTATGGAACAGCACACATGTTCAGCTGCTCATCATCTTAGAGAGCTAATTATGAATATCAATAGTGCGCATAGACAAAGTAAATTGGAATATTTTTTTTTCTTCATCATGCTGACTACTTTTGTCGGACTGACATTTCTTTCTTACTTTTCACGATTGATGTACTTCTTTTTGACTTGCTCCATAGTAGTTGTTATTGATGTTATTATTTTTTTTCTCATCTTTTTCTATTTGACATATTTCCAAGAGTGCAAAGTAACGAACATACCGATGAATAGAACATATATATAGAATGAATGGAAGGAAAAAAAATAGGAGTATGCACAGCTATGATAATCGATTACATAAGTTTCATGCTGTTTTTCGACTCGTTGCCTTTGCTTCTCCTCCTATTTCAACGGTTGAAAATTGAAGAAAATAAATTGTCATCTAATGAACATCTATAGATGTGTGATCTTCAAAATTACATCTATATTTCACACTTAAAGAAAGAGAGGTGAAAACGACTCATCACCTTGTCACTAATCTTATGAGGGAACTACTCGAACTGATATCTATCGTTTTGGTTTACAAGAAGATCTCGGTAAGACTAGAAAATTCCTAACGAAGACTCGTGCGCATGGGTCTCTGAAACCGAGTTATGACCATTTTACTGAATTTTCGATCCAGCTGAAGATTTTTACTGAAAAATTAAATGGCAGAATTTCGATCTGAGATTTCGCTCATAGATAGATCTGATGACTCTGGAAATATTCTCAGAGTTGTAACCGAAAAGAATATTCTGTTATCGAGGCATTGAATTTCCAAGGAAACTTGATTTTTGTGGCAAACAACCATATTTAGGAAATTCAATATTTCGACAAAGGAACATTCTTTTTGATTGAAACTTTCAGGATATCTCTATAGTCATTAGACTTATGTACGAGCAAAATTTCAGATTGAAATTCCATTATTTGATTTGTCGATAAATATTTTAAGCTGAATCAAAAATTCAATCAAACGGTCGTAACTCGGTTCGAGAAACCCATGAGCACGACAAACCCTTTTAGAATTTTTCTAGTCTTACCGAGACTTTGTCTTGTGAACCCAATATGAGTTCAAACGGTAGGTAACAGTTCGAATAGTTCTCTCATTAGTAAAAAAAAAACAAAAATCAACATATCTCTCCACTTGAACAATAAGTTATTTCTATTGTACTGTATTAAAACAATCATCATCGTATTCTGCCACTTCATTGATCAAACGAAAAAAAAAAGAAAAGAAAGGTGTAAAGAAATCATGAACTTTGAAATGATTAATTTTTTTTTTAATTCAATGTTCTAAAACATCTCGGAGAAACTATCAAAACGATTGGAAGTTTCTTTTTTTTTCTCTATGCACTATCGAAAAATCATTCTGCGATCTTGATGTCTAACGAGCGGCATTGATCTTTATCGTAGAAAAAGAATGAATGATTATCCCTTATTACATACACTCTATTGCGGCATCGTTGACACTTGGGTGATGGTTGGAGCTGTTTTCATGATTTTCTTTTTGTTTCAAAGAAGGTGTCAGAAAAAAAGACCACTTTGCCTCTCTCCCTATTTTTTTTTCTCGATAAGTTTTTCTCATAAACGATTGTTAGTGTGTATATATCGTCTTTGATCTGGCAGACACCAGTAGATTTTCTGCGAAGAAGTGTTTGTTCACATTGTGCCACTTATTTTTTCCTTTTTTTTTTTTTTTGTTTTAGTGTTATCTATACGTGCACAGTAGGTATAGTATATTTTATAAAGCAGAACAAATTTATTTGAATTAATGTTATATTTCTTTGTTTTTTCTTCATGGTTCAATATGGAATGTTATTCTTAGAAGAGTAATAAAATAAAATTTTATTTTTGGAGGGAAAAGTTCTTTTTTTTTTCTTTTGTCCACTTGGAAGATAATTTAACATTTGAGACAATTTTATTCATTGTATATGTCAATGCCATTCTCACTTTATTTCATCTAAATAGTGTGAAAAAGATGTCTTGTTAAGATATAAAAGAATGTGATAGTGGTATTGTCTGATGCACAAAATTCTAAAATGTGTTGATAATAAAATCAAGAAAGTCTATGATGGTGATGATGATGTTGATGATAATGTCTCCGTTTATATGTTAGTCAGACAGTTTCATGTTTTCTTTTGACACCCCCTACTATCGTTATCCATCATATATATACACTCACACACACGAAACGATGATCGGTCTCGTTTCAGCAATTATATATTAGTGACGAGAATAAATGTGGGCAGTTTATGTTTATTTTAGAAAGTTCGATTCTACAATAAGATGAACAATATTTATTCTTCTGAACGATTGAATGAATTAAACAAAAATCTGTTTCAAATTTCGAAATCAAAATAAAATAAAGATGATGATATTACGTCGTTTATATCCCTATGGATAGCTAAAATAATATACATATACACTTGCTTATATATCTGATGATGATGATTCTATAACATTTTGTTATCTATATTTTTTTTATAAAGTGCATTAGATGACTGATAAAAAATTTTCGATAGATTATTCTTTGATGAACATTAAATCCACTTGATAAGTATGTGTACAATTGACAATTGGATGAAAAAAATACGATAAATTATTATTAATGTGATGTAATAGGAAAAAACTAAATTGTTTCGAAACATGGTGAGACATCGTTATTTGAATAGAATGAAATTGAAGAAATGTCTGTTTTCACCACATGTTTCAAATAAGAAGATGGGACAGGAGAAATGTTTTTTTTTTTGTTTTATACTTTCATTCGATGCAATTCGATCGATGACTCTCAGCATGGATTTAATTTGTTCATTTTTTTCGACTTGTCATTTGAAACATCTGGAGCGGAACAGATCGAATTTGTATGTGTGTATATGTAGGTGTAGCATCAAATACAAAAATGAACTCACTCACTACTAGATGATGAACGTAACGAAAAGAAAAAGAAAAAGAAAAGGTGTAATCATGTTCCTCGTTCAACTTTTCTAGCTCATCGATTATGATCAAACAATAAGAAGAGATCATCGTTAAAAATTGAGATCAAGGTAGACGATGTAATAAGATCAAACGATTCATTTCGATAGACATCGATGTCCATGACCAACAAGTGGACAATTGGGAAATATACAAAAAAAAATCACTAACGATGAAATCTTGAATAAAACAACAAATTAGATATTTTGACATAATTAGAATCTTTTCATAATATATACAAGAACAATCCATGGAAATTTTGATTATGTTTATTTAAAAGAAATATTTCCAAGCTTACGTATCATTCAACCATAGTATTGAAATAAAACTTTCAATTGACAAGAAGCTTAACTTCATGAAAGATGTCTAAGATAATTATTTCCAAATTTCTTGGAAAACTGAAGATATTAAGTCTTCATAGCTTTGCATCATTATAAAGTTTCATGCATATATTCTTTAAATTTATTCTGAATAAGATTATTTTACAAATCTTAAAACAATGTTTAAGATATTTTTAGAACAATAAAATAAATTTCCACAGATCAATTCATTTCGATTTTTTTCTATTGGTTAATATGTCAATGTCAAAAAAAATAAATTTCTATTGGTGAAATAAGAAAAAAAAACCAACGAACAACACTGCATGAACTCTCCAATCAACACCCTGTAGTTTTTTTTTCTCTCTCGTTTGTCTATAACGACCTTTTTTTTCTTCTATATAGGAAAAAGATTGCACGGCTGGAGATGACACAGGCATTTCCTTTTTCGTATCTTTCACTACTCATTAGAAGTAATACATCCATACTTTCTTCGATACTCCGAATGGTTGATCTACACCTCAGGAGTTCTTCTTCTTCTTCATAGTTTCAGTATAATCCAAAACAGATATTCAAGAGAGAACAAATAAACAACAAAAAAATAAAAAGAAAGAAAAAAAAAATACAATATTCTTTTCCTTTTTTTCTTATTGGTCAATTTATTTTCTCTTTCTTACTCTCTCGCTCTCTCTCTCGTTTTCTCTCATTTTCTCTCTTGACAACGACGACAAAAAAATTCTACTACACTGCTGTGTATGTGTCTGCGCTTGATAGGTTGCCTACTGGAGTCATTATTGCAGTATCAATAGCTAGATCCTGGTGAGCTTATAGGCACCGTACGACGCACACCTCTCCCTCTAAGTTCTCAATCCTGTGGAGCATTGCAAAAAAACCGACAAGTGCCAACCCCTATCGAGATTGTTGACAACAAAAAACACAAAAAAAAAAACGATAAATCGCACAGTAAGTAGTTCACGGCATGAGAGTAATTATGAAGTTTATCTCTTTTGATTTTTTTAAAAATATTCTCCAGCTGATCAGATCAATGTTTGATCCAACAAGTCCATCTGTTGAAGTTACTGGTGGTGTTGGTGAAAGTACAAATAATACAACAACATCATCGTATCCAAGTCCATATGCACCAGTTACATATCGACCATTAACATCAACTCCATCATCATCATCAATTTTTCATGTACCCGGTTCAACATCACTAAATTCACTTGATGATCAGCAACAACGTCGAACAGATTT